GGGTGCTCTGATGTGATTTGCTTCTTGTTTCCTATCAAACATCTATCGTCCTTATCTCCCCTTCTTCTTTTTTATGTTTGTTACTCTCTTGTAACACCTCTAATCTTCTGGCGGTCAAATGACCTTATTCAGTTGCGAGCGCCGTAAAACCTCTACTAAAACTAAACTAACTCACTTTCTCTCCCCCCCCCCACCTTTGTCCCCTCAGGAGGTCCAGCTAAGAGGTCAACTGGAGGGTCTCAAACTGACCAAGTCCCAGCTACTAGTCCGGACAGCCGAGCTCAAACGGCAGATCGCGGAGATAGAGATTCTGGAAGGAGAGGCCATGAGAGAGGTATGTCGCGGGTTTGTTTTGTTTTGTTTTTGGTTATTTTTTGGTTTGTTTTTTAACCCTGTATTAGTCTCTAACCTTATTTTGTCCCTGTGGGTGGTTGGCGGGGGCTCTGGGGTGGTTTGCTTCTTCTTTACATCGTCTTTATCTCCCCTCCTTTGTTTTTTTTGTGTTTGTTACTCTCTCTTGTAACAACTCTAATCTTCGGCAATTATTAATAATTATGACATTATTGTGTTGCAAGTGCCGTAAAACTCTTACTAAAACTAAATTTTGTCCCTACCCACCCTTTTTTTGGTACAAATCCCTTTTTTGCCCCTCCCCTTTTTGTCCCTACTCTTATTTGTCCCTTCCCTACAGGTGGGTGGTTGGCGGGTGCTCTGGTGTGGTTTGCTTCTTCTTTCCTATCACTATCAAACTTCTCTCCTCCTTCTTTTTTGTGGGTTTTTTTTTTTTTTTACTCTCTTGTAACACCTCTATTCTTCGGCACTTATATGACCTTATTGTGTCGTAAGTGCCGTAAAACTGTTACTAAAACTAAAACTAAACTCTACTGTACGATGGAACGACGGAGGTCGGAGGCCCGGCCAAGAGAAGGGAAACAACTCAGAAATAATTTCTAATAACGCACTCTGTGCAGTTGCGTCCCTTGAACCAGGTTTGAGGCAGTTTGTGGGGCACTTGGTCGTTTTGCAAACTCGGTGCTCTCTCTCTCTCTCTCTCTCTCTCT